TCACTATGAGAAATGAGGAGATTCAAATCTCATTGGAAGCACATGAACTAATAATGGATGAAAGGGGAAGTGACAAGGCCAAGGCGGAAATTGCGTTGCATGCAAGGCTCAATGAGAAGAACAAGAGATCGAAAGACAAGTGGCCTTCGAAGAGTAAAGCAAATTTCAGGAATTTTGGTGGAAAATATCCACAAAATTCAAAGGGGTCTATGGCTCAAAGAGGAGAATATAGCTCCAAAGGTACTGGTCAAGGAAATAATAACAAGACTTATGATAAAAGCAATGTGAGGTGCTTTAATTTTCAAAAGTTTGGCCATTTCGCAAAGGAATATAATGCAAAATCGAAGTAAAATCAAGGGGATGAGGCCAAAGTTGAAAGGAAAGAAGTAGAGGATGATGATATGCTTCTTGTTATAATCACGGAGTAGAACAGTGGCAATAGAAAGTGGTTGGACAGCAGCAACAATGTGTGTTAAGGGCTGGACAACAACACTAACAACGTAGAATTTTCTGCACAAACGCGTTCAGAGCGAAACGCAATGGTAACCATTCGAGGTGGTGTCTAAAGTAGTGATGAGTGGTACTTTGATTCAGGTTGTTCTACTCATATGATGGGTAGAAAGGAATGGTTTGTGAAGATCAATCAAGCCAAGAAGAATAGAGTAAGATTCACGGATGACACCACTTTAGCGGTTGACGGTGTGGGTGATGTCTTGATCATGAAGAGTGATGGGTGTCATTACTTAATCAAAGATGTGTTGTACATTCCTGGAATTAGGTGTAATCTATTGATCATTGGCCAATTACTCGAGAAGAATTAGACAATTCGGATGGAAAACAAGATTTTGTGTGTTTTTGACCGAAACGACATTTTAATCCTTATAGCACTCATGGATGCAAATCGTACTTTCAAGATAGATTTGAAAGTAATGGAGCACAAGTGTCTTTCTACAGCAGTAAATCGTGATAAGTGGTTGTGACACTACCATCTTGGACACTTTAATTTTAAAGACCTCGACACATTGCAAAGGCATGGTATGGTGACCGGAATGCCCAATATCAATCTTCCAGCTGAGATATGTGAAGAATGTGTGCAAGGGAAGTAACATAAGAACACTTTTAGCAAGGATGTAGGTCATAAGACCAAGCAAAATCTTGATGTGGTGTATTCCGACGTGTGTGGTCCGATGCAAGTCGACTCATATGGCGGAAATAGGTACTTTGTCACTTTAATCGATGATTTTAGTAGGAAGCTATGGATTTATCTCATAAAGAGGAAGAATGAGGTGTTTGATGTATTCAAGCGTTTTAATTCCATGGCGGAGTGACAAAGTGGTCACAAAGTGAAAATTCTCAAAACGGATGGTGGAGGTGAATATACCTCAAGTGAGTTTGGGAATTATTGTGATGATGAGGGTATAGTGCGTGAAGTTGTTCCACCTTATACGCCTCAACAAAATGATATCGCCGAAAGAAGAAATCACTCAATTATGAACATGGTTCGTAGCATGTTGAAAGGGAAAAACTTTCCAAAAGAACTATGGGGAGAAGTGGTCTCTACAACAGCCTATTTGTTGAATAGGTGCTCTACTAAGAAGTTGGACAAGGTTACATCGGAAGAGGTATGGTCTGGTCGTAAACCGAATTTGACGTGTTTGAAAGTTTTTGGTTCGATAGCATTTCGGAATATTCTGGGTCAACTTCAAAAGAAGTTGGATGATAATGGTGAGGTAATGTTACTTGTCGGATATCACCCTATTTGAGGCTACAAACTGTTTGATGTGAGTAGCAAGAAGATCGTGATTAGTCGAGACGTGGTGGTGGATGAGCTGAGGCTGTTTGACAGCAGAAAAATTATGAGAACAGAAGTAGAAGTCGGTTTCTCGATAGAAGGAAACCAGTTTCCCTCGCGATATTTGCATCCTGAAGGCTCAGGAATTGGATTTTTGGAAGCAGAAACCGGTTCCCCCGATCCTAAAAACTGGTTTCCACCAGAAAATGCAGAAAATGTAGAACTGTAACAAATTGCAGAGCCAGTCCCGAATTCGATCAAAGTTGAGAATGTCAAATCCAGTAGATGACCGAAAAGATGCAGAGGTCTACCTCAAAGGCTCCAAGAATGTGAAGTGTTCCATGATAATGATATCAACAATGATGGTGATCTCATACATTTGCGCTTATGACCGAATCTGAGCCGGTGAGTATAGAGGAGGCAATAAGCAATGAAAAGTGGGTGTGTGCGATGAAAGAAGAGCTGGAATACATTGAAAAAAAGTACCTGGGAGCTGGTTGATTTACCGGAACGAAAAAAGGCAATCGGAGTAAAGTGGGTCTATAAAGTGAAGGCAAATCCCAAAGGCTAAATTTTCAGGCATAAGGCTCGACTAATGGCGAAAGGATTTTTGCAGCGAGAAGGCATAGACTATAATGAGGTATTTGCTCCGGTATCTAGATTGGAGACTATACGGCTAGTTGTTGGTATCGCCAATAGCAAAAATTGGAGAATATACCAAATGGATATAAAATCCGCATTTTTGAATGGTCCATTTGAGGAGGAAGTCTATGTAGAACAACCCCCTGTTTTTGGGATAAAGAATCAAGAGGGAAAAGTCTACAAGTTGAGGAAAGCACTCTATGGTTTGAAACAAGCACCTAGAGCTTGAAACAAACGCATAAATACTTTTCTTATTGAAGTTGGCTTAAAGAATTATGTATCCAAACATGGTGTTTATGTGAAAATGTATGCATGCAGAGGTGTGATTATACTTTGCTTATATGTGGACGATCTTTTGATTACGGGCAACAATGAGAAGTTTATTTCTAAGTTCAAAGGTGAACTTATGGAAGAATTTGATATGAGCAATCTTGGTATCATGACATACTTCCTTGGCATAGAGTTCCACAAGTAAAAATTGGGACTACTCATGCATCAAAGAAACTATGCCCTTGAGATATTGAAGATGTGTGATATGGAGCATTGTAATACTGCCAACTCACCAATGGAACCAAGGTTGCAGCTTTCCAAGAATGAGGATGAGGGCGATGTGATCCAACTCAATATAGAAGGTTGATTGGATCATTATATTACTTGTGCAATACGCGGCCGGATTTGGCATTTAGTGTCGGTATTTCTAGTAGATTCATCGAGAGACCAAAGGTGTCTCATTTGGCAGCAGTTAAGAGGATCCTTCGTTACATTAAAGGTACTCTTGGCTGCGAAATTATCTTTCCCGCAGCTGATACGGGCAGCATGTGCGAGTTGCTCGGTTATACGAATTCCAATTGGTGCGGAGATAACGATGATCGGAAGTCTATGTCTGGTTATGTCTTTATGTTCGACGGAGCTCCAATCTCTTGGTGCTCTAAAAAGGAACTCGTGGCGGCACTCTCTTCTTATGAGGTCGAGTATATTGCTACATCGATGTGTGCGTGTCAAGCTGTGTGGCTAATGAATCTACTTAAAGAGTTGGACAACATTGAGGTAAAAGTTGTCACACTCTTTGTTGACAACCTCTCGCCTATCAACCTTGCAAGGAATCCTATAGCATATGAGAGGAGCAAACACATAGAGATGAGGTTTCATTACTTGAGGGAGTTGGTGTGTGAAGGACAACTGAAGCTAGCTCATTGTCGAAGTGAAGAACAACTTGTAGATTTATTGACGAAGGAGGTAACAAATGAAGTGTTTAAGAGGCTTGTGAAGAAATTGAGATTGAGTAATATGGAGCACTTGACTTAAGGTGGTGTATTGGAAGCAATGTATAAGTCAAGTGCAGTTTGGAAGCTTGAGAATCTATTCTGGAAACAACTTAAGTGGAAAAGTTGTTCTACTGCTGAAGCAAAAAAGTTGTTTTGCAAAGAGGAAACCGATTTCCACATATTCAATTGACGATGCCTATTATAAAATGCATGTATCCGTCAAAGAGAAAATGGCGATGATGTTAAGGTTACCCCTCCTGGCCGCATGGAAGAACCACCAAATAAATTCATCAATTAAATTATAAAGTTGTTATCTTGTCTCTATGTTGACTTGGTGTGGTGTAAAGTTGTTGTCGTGATATATCAGTCAAAGAGCAAATGGCGGTGATGTTGAGGTTAGTAGTTGTATTTTCCAATTTCTAATTTTCATTACTGATTATTCTCTATGCTGCCAAGTAAACTTTTTGAATTTGTTTTAGGTTTTTAAATGACAAAGGGAATATTGTGAAACGATTTATTGTTCTACATCATGTCACAAATACTACATTTGAGTCATTAAATGATGCTCTTTATGGTATTCCTCATAAGTACATGTTATCTATTTCAAGGATACGAGGACAAGGATATGATGGAGCTTCAAATATGAGAGGTGAATTTAATCGTGTGCAAAGAAAAATTCTAGATGAAAACCCTTTTGCTTTCTATGTCCATTGTGATGATCATCGTTTGCAATTGGTTGTTGTGTCTATTACTAGTAGTTGCTCATCTATTCATGATTTCTTTGTGTACATCACCTTGATTGTGAACACAACAAGTGCATCTTGTAAGAGGAGGGATGCTTTGATAGAGGCACAACACCATGATATTTTAAATAAACTTGAGAGTGGTAATATATCTAGAGGAAGGGGCTTGCACCAATCATCTAGTCTCACTAGACCCGGGGATTCTAGACGGGGTTCACATTATACTACATTGCTTCGTTTGGATCAAACGTGGTCCTCCATGTTAAATATGCTTAGTATGGTTGATGAAGATGGACGTGGACCATCTCAAGCAGCGAGTTTGATAGAAAAAACGGAGAGCTTTAAATTTGCTTTTATTTGAGGTTAATGTTAAAGTTTTTTGGTATCACAAACGATCTTTCAAATGTCTTGCAAAGAAAAGATCTTAATATTGTGAATGCCATGGAATTAGTTGATGTTGTCAAAGCTCGGTTGACCGCTATGAGAGAGAGTTGTTGAAATAATTTTTTTGTCGATGTCCAAGAATTTTGTGTTGTTAAAGGTATTCCGGTGCCAAATATGGATGACGAAATACCGGTTCAGGGTCGTTCAAGATTAGAAGGGAGGACTATCACTAATCTTGATCATTACCGTGCAGAGATTTTTTATGTTGCTATTGACAAAATATGCGTGGAGATGGATCACCGCTTTAGTGAAGGAAGTAATATTATACTTGATTGCTTCTCATGTATTTCCCTCAAGAACTCTTTCTCCAAGTTTGATGTTGATAAGCTTGATCGTCTTGCTGATATTTATCATGCAGACTTTTCTGATGATGACCGAGGAACAATTAGGGATCAACTTGACACTTATGTTCTTCAAGTGAGAAGAATTGCTTCATTTTCCACTTGTGAAGATGTTCAAAGTTTGATTATGAAGATGGTTCAAACCGAGAAACATTTGGTATTTCCATTGGTTTATAAACTTATTGAGTTGACTTTGATATTGTCGGTGTTGACAACATCCGTTGAAAGAGCTTTTTCAGCAATGAAGATTATCAAGTCTAAATTGTGCAATAAGATCAACGATGTGTGGTTTAATGACTTGATGGTATCTTACACTGAGCGGGAGATATTCAAGTCACTTGATGATATTGATATCATTCGAAAATTCACCGCAAAGAAGTCTCGGAAAAGGCATTTGCCTCGTAATTTTATTTAAGTTGTTATTGTAAGATTGTTTTAAACTATATTTTTGTTGACAAAATAACAAGTCTCTTTTATTTTGATTGATGACAATTTATATATTGCAGTATTAAATTTTTTGCCTATATTCTATAATTTTTATGGCTCCGCCACTGGATAAAATCATAGTTACCTTGGAGAGTTTAACTGAAAACATTGATTATTTAAATTAAAAATTCATAAATTAACTTATTATATTATATTTTGAATGTTTTTTCTTTAAAATTACATATTCTTGAATGATTGTTTTTGGAGACATATTATAAATATTATACAAAGTTTCCGTAATTATTATTCTTTAAAAGAAAATTGAATTCCAATTGCAAAATTTTCAGTTTTATCTTAAGTTCTTGGAATTTTTTTTTTTTGTTAAATGTAACTTTTTATGATGTTGTAAGGATGTTTGAAATAAATCATTCAAAAATGCATGTCTACCTAACATCAAAGAATAAAATTACTTTTATTTATAATCTAAAAAATAAATAACAAATAATTTATAGAGATTAATTATATATATTTATATTTAATCAAATTACTAAGCTATCATTTCCTCTCATACCGACTGTTGGTGTTCGCAAATAGCATTTTATTTAATTAAGTTGTGAAATCCAAATTGCAGTGTTTTGTATTAAATCATGAATTAATCACAACCAAACAAATTAATTTATTGGGACAATTAGACACCATCAATCACCTACCATGCATATAGCAAAAACTTTAAATAATACCGTATTAACCCCTCTAATGTTCTTGCTTAATTAGTGTGAGGTCCATAATCACCCGTATAAACAGTGACATGTTTGGCTTATTGCAATATACATTAGGAGCCTTATGTAGATTATTCATATGATTTGATTACTTAACAATAATAAAGTATACAATAACTATTCAATATGTGATATATAAGAGAAAATGCTTTCAGTTTGTATACAAATCAAAACTAGTTGCGTCTTGTCATTAATTATGATTTTGGCTTAATTATAATTGATTGAGATTGAACGATGAGTATATTTCCAAACCATATAAGTTAAGACGTATTACTCAACTTTAAGATATGAGCCAAACCTTTATATTTTTTTTTTGCAACTTTCCTACTTTACATTTTTCATTAAAAGAAAGTGTCGTATTTATGCAAATATAGAAAGTTTTGGTAGTATAAGTTTTTTCCGCTTGATGATTTGTTAATTAATGTTTCAGAAATTTTAATATGTACCTAAATCGAAGACTAGAGGAAATTGATAAAACTTATTTTAAATTAATAATTATTTTGACACTCGCTACTGGCATTATGCTGATTTATTTTTTTATTTTTTTTTAAATTAATTTATTATAAATAAAAAATAGTTTTGAAATCTATTAATTTAAATATCTATTATTAAAAATTTTAACATAATAAATATTTTTTTTATAAAAGTTAAATCCGAAGAATTACACCGCTCAAAAATTCACATAAGATTAATATTTTTTAAAATCGACTGTTGGATTGAAACATGTCATCATATAGATGTTATGGTATTTCAAAACATATCCATCTTGAAGAAGACGAGAATGTTCTGTCGGGGATCTTTGATTTCTCCTTGGGGATGAGGATCCTGACTGAGGATAAAAGAGATGTAGATTCCTCCGATGCATTATCTGACCAAGTTTTAGGTCTGGATGTTGATGTTGTTGGGGAATGATAATCCTTGAGAGACACTCTGCTGGGGATGAATATCTCGTGTACGAGTCTGGCTGGGGAATAATGTGATCTTGTATAACCTATTACTACTCACAGACTGACATAATAAGTTAATTGATGATTGGTTACTGCTCAGGGACCAATGTAACAAGACGTTCACTGCGTGGGGATTGATGTAACAATGTAGGTGATCACTGCTCGGCGACTAACGTGATGAGTTGATATGATCCCTGCTCGGGGACTAATGTGATGAATTGATAGGATCACTGCTCGGGGACTAATGTGATGAAGTTGATAGGATCACTGCTCGGGGACTAACGTGATGATGTTGATAGGATCACTACTCGGGGACTAATGTGATGAATTGATAGGATCACTGTTTGGGGACTAATGTGATGAGTAGAAGTGTTGGACACTGTTGGAAGAAGATGATAAAGTAGTAGTCTTGTTGGGAAATTTGTTTCTGTTGAGGGAGCGATGGCTCTGTGGGGATTGTGGATATTATTCTCGTGGGAATATACCTTTGTGAAAATGACTTTGTCGGGATGTGTTAGTGACTTTAATTGTCATCTCAGTTCCTAGAGTCTGTAGTAATTGCTTTTTATGTTCGCTTTTCGTATATTTGTGAACAAATATTTATTGTCAGATGCATATAATCATTCAAAGCAATCATTGGACTTTATGCAAACCAACAGATAAAAGTAAAAGTTTAAAACTGGAAAAGGGGGATTGTATTAATTTTGAAAAGTGGCCTATAGACAGACAGTTCGTATTCATAGAGACAAATATCCTAGTAAGAGGAAATTGTCGAAAACATTTGGAAAATAGTAAAAGCTATGTGGAAACAATCTCGTCGAGTTTCAATTCTGCTGTTGCTCATATATTTTCGACTATCTCATCTTCTCGCTGCCAGAAGAAGGTGATTGGATTGATCTGCCCCATTTGAAGCTGATAGTAGTGTAGTTTATAAGTAGATGATCTTGTCAAGACATAGTTGTACGCTTTAATCCTTAACTTTTGCCTAGACCGCCCTTTCGGGTTTTCAGTTTATCGGGATACCCTTTTTTGCCCAAGCCGCCTTTGTAGGTGTTCAGCTTGCCGGGTGTACATCTTTTATATATATATATGTCCCTAACTTTTGCCCGAACCCTTTTGGTTCGCCAGGACGCCCTTATTCTTGCCTAGGCCATTCGACCTAGCGGGTCTCGTTTATGCGTAGTATTTTTTTGACTATGTCTGCATTCACAGGGTGCGGGAGGTTTTCTCCATCCATAGTGCTTAGTATCATGGCTCAGCCGGAAAATACTGTCTTGACTATAAATGGTCCCTCGTAAGTGGGAGTCCATTTGCCCATGGGATCACCTTATGGTAGTATGATGCGCTTGACTACTAGATCTCCAACTTGGTACATTTGGTGCTTGACTTTCTTATTGAAGGCTTTGATCATGCGTTTCTGATATATCTGTCCATGGAAGATGGTTGCGAGCCGTTTCTCATCGATCAAGTTTATCTGGTCAAGTTGAGTCTGGACCCATTCGTCTTCGTCTAACTCTGCGTCCTTTAGTACTCTGAGTGAGGATATCTGAATCTCGATAGTTAGAACTGCTTCCATACCACACACGAGAGAGAACGGGGTTGCCCCTATAGATGTTCGTACTGAAGTGCGATAACCGTGGAGAGCGAATGTCAACATCTCATGCCAATCTTTATACGTCACTGTCATCTTTTGTATGATTTTCTTAAGATTTTTGTTGGCGGCTTCCATTGTGCCATTCATCTTTGGCCGGTATGGAGAAGAGTTGTGATGCTTTATCTTGAACTGCGTGTAGAGTTCGGTGATCATTTTGTTATTGAGATTGGTACCATTGTCTATGATAATCCTTTCGGGGATTCCGTATCGGCAGATGAGATTATGTTTGATGAATCGAGCCATAACATTCTTGGTAACAGATGCGAAGAGGCTGCTTCTACCCACTTGGTAAAGTAATCGATAACAACAAGGATGAAATGGTGCCCATTAGAAGCGGTCGGCTTGATTTCTCCAATTATGTCAATTCCCCACATCGCGAAAGGCCACGGGGCGGTAATAACATTCAATGGAACTGGAGGTATGTGTACTTTGTCTACGTATATCTGACATTTATGACAAGATCGAGCATAGCGATAATAATCAGCTTCCATAGTGGACCAATAGTAACCTGCTCTCAGAATCATCTTAGCCATTGTATGTCCACTGGAGTGAGTACCAAATGTGCCTTCATGTAACTTTTCGATAATTCGTTCGACTGCCTTCTAATCTACACATCAGAGTAAGGCCATGTCATGATTGTGTTTGTATAAGATGTTGTTACTGAGAAAGAACTTGGCGGCAAACCTCCTTAGAAACTTCTTATCGTTGACAGATGCCCCTTTAGGGTATTCTTGAGCCTTGAGATACCTCTTCACTTCGTAGAACCAAGGTTTCTCTTCTACTCCTTCGGTATCAAGTTCACAACAGTACGCCGATTCGTCTAGTCTTTCAATAGTGACTTGAGGAGCTTCGTTGTCCCATCTGACTTTAAACATAGATGACATGGTAGCTAACGTGTCTACCAACTGATTCTCTTCTCGTGGGATATGCTCGAAAGTGATTTCTTCGAAGTAGGGGATCAAATTCAACACATGTTCTCGATATGGAATGAGATTTGGATGCTTCGTGTCCCATTCGCCCTTAATCTGACTAATCACCAAAGACGAGTCTCCGTATACTTGCAAGAATTTGATCCTCAAGTTAATAGCAGCTTTGATACCCATGATGCATGCTTCGTATTCCGCCATATTGTTGGTGCAGTCGAAACATAGTCTGGCGGTGAAAGGTGTATGACCGCCTTTAGGAGATGTAATTACATCGCCAATACCATTGCCAAGTGCGTTGGAAGCTCCATCGAAGACCATGGTCCATCAGGATCCTGGCTCAGGTCCTTCATCCGGTCTAGGCTCTTCGTAATTGGTGACTAACATAATATCCTCATATGGGAACTCGAAATGCATGGACTGATAGTCATCTATAGCTTGATGAGCCAAATGATCAGATACTACACTTCCTTTGATCGCTTTTTGAGTAGTATAATGGATGTCGTATTCGGTCAAGATCATTTTCCATCTTGCTATTCTTCTAGAGAGAGCAGGTTTCTCGAATATGTATTTTATCGGATCCATCTTAGAGATCAACAAGGTAGTGTGAGTCAACATATACTGTCTTAGTCGACGAGCAGCCCAAGCCCAAGCTCTGCAAGTTTTCTCAAGCTGTGAGTATCTTG